CTGACAACACCAAGTCAAGGGTTAAGATCCCCTTACCGGTCATCTTTAAAAAAAAAAATCAATAACTAGAAAAATAAAATAAGAAAGAGACAAAATACAAGTTCCAATTTTTCATCATTGGGTTCAGCGGGGTGTGAAATTATCCTGTCCATTGCTCTACAAGGCTCTAAATTTTCAGTACTTACATGGGGTGGGGAACACAAGGACTGGCCAGCACTGGTCTGGGGACCACCCTTTGAGGAGCCCTTGCTCTAGAACATCAGAGGAGAGAGTTGGGGACCTGGGTTCCCTTAGGTCTCCTAAGAACCAGGAGTGGTGTGTTGGACCACTTTAGTCCAGATGTTCCCAAACTTTGGCCCCTCTGAGTTTGAAGATTCTCCTACCTCTAGTGCTTCCAGATAAATGGGACTGTGGAGATGTTAATAAATCTATAGGGCTTGACAAACTTTATTTTCAATTTGTCCTGTAAAGTGGATTCCTGGATTGCTTTGAAAAGACAAGGTGTTCCAAACCAAAGGATGGGGAGTTTTAAGAGTCTTTGTCAGGTATTGCGAGGCCTTTACACTTGGGTATCTTCTAACCATCCAGACAAGAAAAACATAGTAACCAGAACATACTCATATGAGCAATGTTTCTTTCTGGATAAGATCAATCTGACTATTGACAGCTGTCTCCTGAGTGGGACAATGAGCTGCTTTGTTGTCTTGACAGCTTTTCCCATGTTCTGGACTGACAATCAGGGCAGCTCTTATGAGGGCACTTCAAAAAATTCATAGAAAGATTCATATTACCTTTCAATTCTATTTTTCCATGAACTTTTTGAAGTGCCCTTGTACAATACTCTCCCACCATGTAGGATAAGCTGGGAGTGTACCAAACACACCTGCTGGGCATTCCTGGCCGCCCTGTTTGTTTGGGCATGCCATTCCAAGGATTACATAAGCAAGGGGAAGGAAGAGTTGCTACCATACAACTTTTCTAGAGAGTTGCAACAAAGATCTGGGTGCAAAAGACAGCTGCCCATCTTCAGAGGTCCCTCTATGAATGTGGTTCTAATCCCGGGCAGGGTGACATCTGAAGAATTACCAGAAGAGGCTGGTCAGTGACAAGGAGGAGCAGAGAGGCCTGAGAATGAGGCATGATTGTAGCCTCGACTGTGCCATGGGATATTGTCACAATGTCCAGGAACAGCCATGGCAGAGAGAATGAGAGCACCATTCGACACTTTAGCTCCTCCAGAAGTGAGAGGCCTCACCGTCTTTATTGTGGACCACATATGTTAACGTTAATGTCCAGTCATGCATTGCTTAACAATGGGGATGTGTTCTAAGAAATGTGTTAATAGGCGATTTCATCACTGTGTGAGTATCACAGACTGTACTTACATAAACCTAAATGGTGTAGCCCACTATACTCGACACTGTAGGAAATTGTAACACAATGGTATTTGTGTATCTAAACATATCTAAACATAGAAAAGGTACAGTAAAAATACAGTGTAAAAGATAAAAAATGGCATACCTGTATAGGGCACTTTCTATAAGTGGAGCTTGCAGGACTGGAGGTTGCTCTGGATGAGTCAGTGGGTGAACGTGAAGGTTAGGACACTATTTGAACGCTGCTGTAGACTATAAACACTGTACATGTAGGCTGCTCTAAGTTTATTGAAAAGTAAAGTAATAGTGCTGATGGCTATGATAGGATAGGAATCCTATCGTACCAGGTGACAGGAATTGTTTAGCTGCATTTTAATCTCATGGGACCACTGTCACGTATGTGGTCTGTTGTTGACCAAAATGTCACATGACTGTACTTTGTTATAGACACATACACATATAGTCATGTCAATCGGTATGTTTAAATGACAATATGATTTAAAGCTGGAAAACTCTAGTTTTAAATGAAATTAATTTTATCTGAATATGTTGTAAGACTATCTTTATAATATATAATATACAATATTTCAATATATATAAAATATGTAATATTTCAATTGAAATTGATATTTCAATTTGGGCACCAGGAAGAACACATCTATACATGGAGACACAGCATTTTAATTTCTTGGAAGTCTTTGGGTAAATGTAGAAAAATATGTAATATTTCAATTGAAATTGATATTTCAATTTGGGCACCAGGAAGAACACATCTGTACATGGAGACACAGCATTTTAATTTCTTGGAAGTCTTTGGGTAAATGTAGATTATTATTATTATTATTTTTTTTTTCCTTTTTGTCTTTTTCCGTGTCCGGCAATGGATCGCAACCCTCAGTGTCGCCCCCGTACCGGACCAGGACCAGCAACGGGATTGCAACCCTCGGTGTTGCTCCCGCGCCTCGCTCAGCCAGTGAGCGGGAACCGGTCTGTATGTGGGATCCGAACCCTCA